GACATGTTCAGTCTTATGCACAATCTTTTTGACATGGGCTAAATCTAGACGTTGAACAAACTGAAGTGGTTGAGTCTCCTGTATTCTTTATGATCAAATAACCCTTCATTTAATTGATAAATATTAAGTAGCTTTACCTACTAAGAAAACAACCAACCTATAATTTGAAATTTTCATGAGCTTAACATGGTGAATCCAACTATCAATTTATTAGTTCAGATTTAGTTTCATATTCATTTATGAATAAGGTTAAAGCAATTTGGGACACTAACAATTCTAAAAAAAAGGTTCACCAAAAATAAAAAATGTTGCTAACAACAATTGCTCACATATTAAAGATTTCTCTCCTTAGTGAAATGACAATTCTAATAGTGTAGAAATTCTTTACGTTATCAGTATATATAAATCAAAGATAAATACTTATATATCTTATCAGGTATTATACTAAATTATTCAAAGTGAGAATATATTGATGGAATGTTCATGTTTTGAATTTATTAGTTTAATGTAAAACCTAGTGTGAAGATGTAAGCTAAACTTATTTAAGAATAAGTTGAAGCCATTTTTGGAAGCTTATAATCCTAAATAAATTTTCACCAAATATAAAAAATTCTACTATCAACAATAGCTTACATATCAAATATTTCTCTCCTTTGTCAAATACAACTTCCTTTAGTACCGCTTAAGCAAGAATTAAAAAGGTTATAAAATTGATTCCATTGAAAAAATAAAGAGTTAATATCCTAAAATTCCCTTAAACTATCAAATTTTTGTCAATTTCCTACTTAAACTATTCGCTGTCCTCAAAACCCCCCTGATATATATTGCCCTTCATATTAAAATCCCCTCCTTGCATTCTTAGAGGTGCGTCTAGTACACGCTCCTAATTGTCTAAAAAACGTGTCATGTAGCACTACACGTGGCTATTTAATTCAGTCTAAACCCCACCTAAGCTATTATTTTTTTTGTCAGTTAGCTACTTAAACTATCTGGTGTCCATAAAACCCCTCTGAACTATATTCCCCTATATATTAAAACCCCATGTTGGACTTTTAAAGGTACGTCTGTCTAACTATATTAACTCATGATTAGTACAAAGTTTTTATATAGTTTACTTATAATGTATTACTCTCGAATGATTAATTCTAGGAGTTTTGGCCAAAATAATATCTAACGTAACATGTTAATTTTAGGTTTAATTATGATTGTGCTTTATGCTAGACTTCAATTGATAAGTCCTTATTATTCACTTGCAGCACAGGTAAAATACAAATAAACGCATATAGTGTTGTATTTCTTAAAAGTCATCTTATATTACAAAAATAATAATTACACAAGTTAAAAGTTTGCAAATAAAGAATCAATTGCCCAACAATTACATTCTCTAATTGCTAATTGCAGATTACATAAAAAAGATTCAAGAGATTCAACTTCATTCTTTACAAGGTGTTGAGTTTAATAAGAAGATTTAAATTGGTATTCTTTCAAAAATATGTGCAAGACATGAAAGAAGACTAATACAAGAAAGAGAATAAATAATTTCAGAGGAAACAAGAGAGGGAGAAATTTTTACAGAGGAAATATATATAGAGAACTGAAGAAAAAAAATTAAAAAATAAGGAAGAAGGTGAAAAATAAAGAAGAAAGGGGAAAAAATAAGGAAGAATGATAAAAAATGAGAAAGAAAGATAGATATAAATGAAATAAGGAGAATATTTATCAAAAATAAATACATTTGAAAGAGGGTTAGGCTAACTAACTATTACTTTTTGTTAGGTGGGCCATTTCGATGGCTTTTTTGAGCTATCACGCGCTTCCAAGCGAGTATCTACATATGTTATGCCAGGTCAGTGACGAGGGAGTTTTAATACGAGCAATAATATAGTTCAGGGAGGTTTTGGGGACACCGAATAATTTAAGTAGGAAACTGATAACTCAAAAAGAAAAGATGTAGCAGAAAATGCTATTTTACAGAATAATCATACAGCGAAATTTCTTCTGTTTTGTGACTGCTAAAAAAGGGTTAGTATTTTCCATTGGCAAATAAAAATATTTAAAGATAGTAATTCAAGAGCAGAAGTTTATGAAACTATTCTTTTCTCTTTTAAGAAGTCAAAAATTAGACAGTTCTATTGTGAAAACAGAAATTAGAGGTAATACTACAATAAAAATAGAGCAAAATTTCAAAGTTCAACAAAAGCCAGATAGTACAAGTCAAACCTCAACCTTTACAGGCAATATTGGTTCACAAATGTTCACATAACAAAACACAAATGCTTCTTTTTCTCTTTCTCTCAATAAAGACAGGCTGGAAGGATCCAAACCTCAAACCCCACTTACATTATTAACAATTAATAATATGTTCATTCAAAGCAAATGAAAGAAAATCCAAAAAGAAAAAACACCCACAATTAAAAAACAAAAGAGGAAATAAACAATACTAAAAGAAGCCAATGAAGTGAGTTGAAATGATGAATTTCATGTTTAAGCAAAAATACAACTACTAAATATTACTCCCTCCGTTGCAGTTTATGTGAATCTTTTTCCTTTTTGGTCTGTTCTAAAAAAAATGACCCCTTTCTAAATTTGGAAATAATTTAGCATAAACTTACAATTCAACCCTTGATGAGAAATATTTATAACCACACAAATACTCTGGGCCCTTTTTTGACTTGTTTAGGATCACAAATTCCAAAAGTCTTATTTTTTTTTTAATCTCCGTGCCTAATCAAACAGGTTCATATAAATTGAAACGTAGTGGAGGTGTCTTTAAATTGGTTCTAACTCCCAACACCATAATTTTTTATAAAAGAAAAAAAAGAAAAAGAAATAATATACTAAAGAAAAAGTTGAGAAATCAGACAACTAAAGGAGATTAGCTTCTTTCCTTTCTCTTTTCCCCTTCACCTTTATTTTCTTGCTGCTTCTGCTAAGCATCTTTTTTTCTCACTTTTTAGCTCCTCTATCATTCTTGTTCATTCTTTACCTTCCTCTTGGTTAAAAAAAAAAGTATTTTCCCTTAGGTTCTCTTGCTTTAATTTGATACTTTGATTCCATACTTCCCTCTTATTTCTTTCCATTTCTTCAGCTGAAACCTGTTAGTAAAATCTTTGATTCTTGTTGAGCTTTGTCTCTCTGGCATTGATCATTTGATCACAAAGTCTAATTCCTTTTCTTATTGGGATTTTCTCTTTTCCCTAGGAATTGTTCTTGGACCTTAAATACCTTTGCTGAAATTCTTTGTTGATCCCTTCTTGGTTCTGCTGTTCTAAGCTTAAAAATCCCACTTTCTTGTTTTTCATTTCCAAGATTGTGACTTTCTTACTTCTTCAATTGTTGGGTGTCTGAGAATTCCTTTTTTTTATTCATTTGTTTGGTTATTTGTAGTTTGTATTCTATTTGTTTGAGCTCAAAAATCTTTAAAATTTGCTCTTGTTTCTTTTTCTCCTTGTAATGGTCTTATTTTCTGTATTTCCCTGTTAGTTCTTGGTATAAAGTTGTTAACTTTACTTCTTCTGTTTTTTCCTTTTGATTAATTGAATTCTGTTGATCCTATCTAAATTGTGTTCTTGATTCCATGGGACTTTGTCATGGAAAACCCATTGAACCCCCACAAAACTTGTCTGAAAATCCCATAATTCCCATTGATAATGAGGCTGAATTGAGTTCCCACACAGGAAAAACACCAAAGTTTCCTTTTTACAGTCCAAGTCCTTTGCCTAGTGGATTCAAGAATTCCCCAGCTTCCAATTCTAGTGTAACTTCAACCCCTTTGAGATTTCTCAAACGCCCATTTCCACCACCATCACCAGCTAAGCATATTAGGGCATTGCTTGCTAGGAGACATGGCTCAATTAAGCCTAATGAAGCTACAATTCCTGAGGGGAGTGAGTGTGATATTGGTTTGGATAAGAATTTTGGATACTCAAAGAATTTCTTAAGCCACTATGAGCTTGGAGAAGAAGTGGGAAGGGGCCATTTTGGTTATACTTCTGCAGCTAAGGGGAAAAAAGGGAGTTTGAAAGGGCATGATGTGGCTGTTAAAGTTATTCCAAAATCAAAGGTTTGCCCTTTTATGCTGTTTTCCCTATTAAAGAAAGTATAGTGAGAGTTTTGTTTCTATATTCTGTTTGATTGGTAAATCTTGTTGAAGTCTTCATTTGTCATTGCTGCTGATTGTAATATTAACTGGTCGAGATGTCATCGATTGTAAGTGTTTTGAGGTGCAAAGTGTTTGGTGACTTTGAATGAGCTACGGTCTTTTTGCAGAAATATAGTAATAGTCGGATGTTCTCATTGTTTCGACAAGTGTTGGTTCCAGAAATGGTTGAGAAGGATGGCAAGTGAGCTAGATAGATTTGTTGGAACTTCCATTATTACGTTTATGAGAAATTGACCTTGGCCAAAATGAAAATTATTGTGGATTTTATGTGGACAGTCCAGAATATCTGATATAGGATTTTATGTCGTATAGTTTGTTACCTATCAAGAAAAGAAAAGGTTGGCTAATAGCTAGATGATGTTTCTAGTATCTGAAAATTTAGCGGGTTTTGTCTATTTTTACATATAAAAGTTGAAGCAAAGCATTAGGTGGAAGTTGATTCCAATCATTTTCTTGTCAACTGTGTTTACATGATGTTATCCTGTTATTTGCACGCCAAAAGCAGTATTGAACCTTATTGTATCCGTTCTTTCATTTTAATGAGACTGGGGATACTTTTGCAGATGACCACAGCAATTGCAATTGAGGACGTAAGGAGAGAAGTCAAAATATTGCGTGCTTTAACAGGAAATAGGAATCTGGTTCAATTCTATGATGCCTATGAGGACGAGGAAAATGTTTATATAGTCATGGAGTAAGTTAAATTAGTCAATCTTAATGCTGTTTTTGCTTGATGTTTATGTTGAATTCAGAATGTGTAAACCACCTTTCAGGGTAACATGTCAATGTTAATACTTCAGCATTCTGATATAAAAGAAATATGATCTTTTGTTTTCTATTAGGCACCTTAATTACATGATGGAGATTTGTAGACTACACATAAAAAAATGTTTTAGTTTGGTCTACGTCCTTCCAAATGTTTGCATTGGCTTGAATCATTAATGTTGGCAAAACTGAAATAAATGGTTGTCATTCATCGACTGTTAAATCTTTTTTAGATGTGCAAATGATTTAATGCCAACAATCTTCATGGCTGATGTGAGTTTTCTTTTGTCAAGCTAGTTTAATATCAGAGTAGTAGATTAAGATACATAAAGAATCATCCTGATTCATATTTCCAATGTTTTTATAATTTTTTGCCAAACCAGAAGAGATATCTATTATAGTTCATCAATTCTGGCTTTTATGTTTACCCATTTTTGTATACTTATCTTTGTGAAATCTTCTTCAGGTTATGTAAAGGAGGAGAATTACTGGACCGGATACTTGCAAGGTGCGTACTTAATACATTTTCAGCTTTGTATGCTTGTTATTCTCCTATGTAAACATCCTGACTTCCAATTTCTTTTGAACGGGTGGGAAATACTCAGAAGAAGATGCCAAAGCTGTCATGGTGCAGCTTCTAAGCGTGACATCGTACTGTCATCTTCAAGGGGTTGTTCACCGTGACTTAAAGCCTGAGGTAATGAATTCTTTTGGTTTCCTTATGACATAAAAATACTCAAAACATTCTTTGCAATACACCCTCTACTTTGGTTTAAAACTTCTGTTTCTACTAGCAGATTACTCACTTGATGGCTAGGCCTACCTATCAAGTTATTGTTGAACTTTACACTTACAAACAAATGAGCAAGAAAAAGAATGTCCTACTATGAAAAAGCTCGGCAATTTTTATATTTGTTGCTGGTATTTACTCATTATTTTCAAGATTCTTGAGGGGAAAAAACAAAAAATGGGGAAATCTTTAAGGTTTTTAAACTTTTTGATTAAATGGTTGAATTTCCATATTCAGGGGTGGGTGATTCCGATTGCTGTTTTAGCTCCTGTAAATAGTCTGACCTGTATCTGTATTTGGTTGAAGCATTAAGAAATGCGTAGTGCAATCATTATGGCAATCTACTAAAACTTGTGTAGAATTGCTTCACTGCTGTAATCAGATATCTCATTGGTAAATTTTCTTATATTATATGGCTTCTTTGTATACTTGGAATGGAAATAAATAAGAAATCTAGCGATTGTATTTGGAGAACTGGTTAGGAATTTGTTGATAAAATTTTCTTGAGTTAACCTATGAAATAGGGTCAAGCTTACTGTGGAAAGTGTTCTACTAATTTTGACATTAAGTGCACGAACGCAAGCATAATAGCATGATTAATAACCTCAAATATCAAAGAAAACACTCAAGACATCATCAACTTAGTAACTGATATTAATTGTGTGCAACACGTTACAGTACAGGAAGTGAGTAATCCTGTATTTCCATCTGTTATGTCAATTGTCCAATTAGGATATCTAGGATCCTTCTCAACTAATTAGGTGACTAAAAGAACATTCATGGGAATTTTCGGTAACATAATATCACATGATGAATGCTGATAACCCAATCATAATTTTGTATAAGCCCCTGTAAAGTATTGAGAGAGTCAAATCAGCTCAACCAAATCAAACTGCTTTTGGAGGTTTGTCTATGGGACAGACCACCGAAGAGATTAGTTATGCTCTGCATTTGTTCTTACAGCATCTGCTGGAAATGTTTAGGGTTTCTTCTAATCCCACCATATAGGTGAAACAACTGTAGTGTCATTTCTTTCCTCCCTCACTCTCTACCGCGTATGCTCTTTTTATTTCTTTGGTTTCCGAGCTCATTATATTGACAGCTGTTCTTGTGTTTTATTCAGAACTTCCTTTTTGTTTCTAAGGATGAGAACTCTCCTTTAAAGGCCATTGACTTTGGTCTTTCTGATTACGTAAAACCAGGTAATGTTAATGCATACAACGCTTTTATCGTTTCTTTTCTGTTATTGTAGCATGCCATGGTTGACTGATGGAAATATTTGCAGATGAAAGGCTTAATGATATTGTTGGAAGTGCATGCTATGTTGCTCCTGAGGTTTTGCATAGATCTTATGGAACAGAAGCGGACATGTGGAGCATTGGTGTAATTGCCTATATTCTTCTATGTGGAAGCAGGCCTTTCTGGGCGCGAACAGAGTCCGGTATATTTAGGGCCATCCTGAAAACTGATCCAAACTTTGAAGAAACCCCTTGGCCCTCTTTGTCTTCTGATGCAGTAGACTTTGTAAAAAGATTGCTGAATAAGGATTACCGCAAAAGGCTAACTGCAGCTCAGGCTCTCAGTAAGTCTCCTTGTAAAATGTCAATTTTGGGTATATCCTCTCAGCATCCTGTAGTAGACCTTATAATAGTGGATTAAGGATATACCTCTACCAGTTTCAAGTTCCTTAATGTCCTTGTCAAATCTTGTCTCGAGAAGAACTCATCGCCGCCATAGATGAAGCTATTCTGACTTCTTGATATAACCAATTTACCTATGTGGTTTCATGTTTATTATCTTAGTAATTTATCAGATTTTAGCTGTATTATTGATTTCTTAACCTCTCTCATTACTTGTCTAGGTCATCCTTGGTTGGCTGGTTATCATGATGTGA